TTTTTTTTTTAATTATTGTACTTTTTTTTGGTAATGAATCGTAATGGAGCTGTGGAGTGTACATTACATTGGAGTGTTTCAATGGAATGTACATTTTCAAGTTTTAACTGCTCTTAGGCAGTTGTGATTATAGCTGGTGCATATACCCAGGTTTCAGCACAGAGCGAATTTGGTACGATTTTCTGTTTCCCCCCCCCCAAAATTAAAACAAGTGCTGTTTATATGGAAAAATTGTGGATTGTTTTGAAAAGCATGTTTTTTTAATAAACGTTTAAAAAAAATAGGTGGCTCTGGTTGTATTACTGAAATACAGGTAAAGATATCAATAACATTTGACTCTAAACTCATCAACAAGTTTTGATGTAGAATGTTTTGGTTTGAGATGTATGCAAAGTAAAAATATAGCTATGAAGCCAAAATGTTGATCATTCGGATTTATGCTAATAAATGATTGTTTCTTCAGTATGGAGGTATTTTAGTTAGTACCAAATTAAAATTAGAAATTGAGACTCTTGTCATGTTTTATTATGAAAAAGTATCAAATAGAAATGCATTAAGCATACCAAAAAATTGTGGTAAAAATTTAATCTATGGTACCCCTTGGTGAATCGTTTCTTTTTTTATGTGAAGATCGGTGTCAATTTCAAAATGGCCACTACACAAAACCAAAATAAGAAGTCAAAGACTCAGTGTCCATGTACACATTTATCTATTTAAAAAAAAAAAAAAAAAAATCAGAGAATTGCACAAACTAGGCATTGTGCACTGCCTTAACTTTGTTCATGTACACATCAATCTATTTTCACTTAAATCAGGAAGCTAAAACAAAGTTAAAACTATCATGGTAACCAGAAAAAATTCGCTGCTGTCAAAAGTGTCACACAGAGACGAACAAATAAACAAAAATACATAATCAGAGAGGAATAAATAACCAAAAATACATATTTCCTAACATAAAAACATTAGACAACAAATCTTTTAACAAAAATTAACACACAGAGACGAATAAATAAATGAAACGTCAATTTTTTAACATACCTTTTTTGACGTGCATACGTTTAGGCTTCCCACCGCCATCTCCTCCATCTTCCAGGTAAGCAATTCAATTCAATTTTTTGTCATTTCGGCTCATTCATATATACAGTACAAAGTCCGTAATCTGGACGTCAATTATCTGGAAAGATCTATAATACAGACCTCAAAGCAACAAACTTTTTTTTTTTGTATTCTTTACGCATGCGCATAATGCGTTTAGGCATGCGCGTTGGAAGGATGTGTCTCCAGATATGCTAAAAAATGCTTGGCATAATTTATGGCCAGCTACCATATTTCATGGTTAGGATGATGAAGGTGATAGCCGCGAATTTGAAGGTTTTCGGACATCGCAAACTAAAGGTGAAATTTCCCAGTTATTGGATTTTGTAAAGAAATTTGGAGAAGCGGTAATAAATAAAGATGATATAACAGAAGTTTTTCATTGCGACAACAATGACCCAATCATCAATCAATTAACGGACGGCGAAATCTGTAGTATGGTTCTATATCCAGAAAATGCCACTTCCGATAGTGAAGAAAGTGACAGAGAGGTTATTGAAAACGAAAAAATTTCGATTGACAAGTTAGTCGGTATTCTCGACGCAGCATTTACGGGACTTGAACAGTGGAACTTTGTAACTGAACAAGAAATTATGTCTGCTTATGGAATTAAAGAGAAAGTATTAGCACAAAAAACGAAGCAACTTACATTGAAAGAAATGTTTAATAAAGTAAACAAATAAATATTAAGCTTTTTTTTTTTTTGTAAATTTTGATACCCTTTAGATCGTAATTGCTCTTTATTTCATAAATTAAGGTTTCATATTTTTAATTGTATAATTTCTGCATGCCATCTTAACAGATTCAAATTGATGATCTATAATCCGGAAAAACCCCTAATCCGGAATCGCTGAAGTCCCGACGAGTCCGGATTACGGACTTTGTACTGTATCAGCAATTAAACCAGCTTTCATGCAAGAATCGAACATTTTTCGTCTGTCATCCAACCCATACACAAACCCCAAATTCACAATTTCAGCATAATCCAACTCATCAACATTCGTTCTCATATTCGCCTCAGATATACTCAAATGAGGATACCCAAAGCAAAACAAAAGCAAGTTCAAAATACAAGACCATACCATGCATGTGGAATTAAACACAGCAATTCAAAGGAATGGTAAGAACCAAAAACTGGGGTCCATACGAAAGGTTTACTATTATAAAAATTAGCCAAAATCTAAATTTATCACAACACGTTTTGGCAATATTCACAGAAATGAAAAATCAAGATTTTCCCCAAGGCTAGTGTCACCAACATTATCAACATTAGGATTAGCGAAAAAACTATTTCACGCAGCAGGCTTCCATATTTCATGAACAACCAATACGACTTGGTGATTTTTTCATACAAAAACCAAGGGGTACCGTACAGTAAAGATTTGCCAAAAGTGTTTGCTGTGATGTGCAGTTATGGATTTTAGATCACTGGATATTGGACATCCAAAGTTCTTACTTTGTACTGTACATTAACACTAAGTGTCATAGGTCAAAAGCATTTATAAATTAATGCTTGCATATTTTACAGAGAATCTTAGCAAAGGGATATTTATTATTTTGATGTATTATTTGCTCAAAGTATTTGCATTATCACGTTTAATCATATTTTGTGAAACAATTTTTGGCATTTGAAAGAAAGAGACTCATTAAGTATAAGGTGTCTGAATTGCAACTATCATGCTGTCAAATTGGAACCATTATTTACATTCAATTCTGTTACAAAAAGTCAGCTACTGAATGGTGCCAAATCATGTGTATAGCTTTAGGTACTAATATTGTATCATATGACACTGTGAAGCTTTGGTACCAAAAGTTCAAAAACAAGTTCTATTACATTCAAGAATCAAAGCGCTCTGGCCATCCTACTGATGTTAATGAGGCCAACCTGCGAAACTTTTCGAAGAAAATAAGTATGCAACTACTCGAGAGCTTGCTAAGGAGTTGGACATTAGTGCTATGTCCATTAGTCATGCTGTGCATTGCATAAACTGGATGTACAAATTCAGTCACTGGGTGCTGCATGAGCTGACTCGTGCTGATAAGGACCGATGTGTTTGGGCCTGCCCTAATCTGCTTGAATATCAATGCAAGGACAAAATTCTGGACCGGACCGTCACTTGTGATGAAAAGTGGATTTGATTCAACAACACAGGCTGAAAAGGGGGTTAGTCCGTGTCCAGTGAGCCTGTTAGCAATGTTGCAAAGTGCAATTTGACTAACAGAAAGATCATCAGCCTTGGGGAAAATGAGATTGCCGTGATATTATCCCCAAAGATATATCTGGAAAAAGGTAAAGCCATCGACAGTAAGGTTTACAGATACTAGTCTGTGTTGACATTGCTATCAAGGAAAAACATCGAAGTGAGTTCCGGCACAAAAAAGGTTATGTTCCATCAAAATAATGCAAAACCACATGTATCTGCATTCTCCGGCTGGACTCTGAATGGACTCAAATGGGATCTTTTGTAACACCCACCATATAGCTCTGACATCGCTCCTTTGGACTTCTAACTTTTTTTTCATACCTGCAGCTACATCTTATTGGTGATACAGTCAAAAGTCGTTAATTCGGACACCCATATTCCGGACCTCAAAGCTACAAACTTTCTGCGCATGCCTCGCGTAAGACCTTTACGGCTGTGAATATGCGTGTGCACATGCCCAAAATATGTTTACGCATCCTCGTTTAATGTATAACGGACGGTATAAGCTAAGCTAAAATTATCTAATTCAGTTAATGTTGCAGATTGCGTTGTTCCTTAATCTTCGAATTGGATCCGGCTTATTATTTTTTGCAAACTGTTAGAGCAATTTTATAAAAGTAAGCTTGAACTTTCGATTATGTCAAATAGAATTTCCAATATATATTTACTAATATGTAAAGGATCTACAAAGCAAAAGTATGTTTCGAAGTCCATTAAACAAAAAGTGGAATTGCTGCAAAAAATGGATAAAGGCATATCCTTTTTTTATCTAATAATTCCGAAATCTGTTTATCAATTTCACACTGCTCTGCGGCGGGGCAACGCCGCGGTGCACAATGAATTGGAAGTTGATCTGTCAGCACTATCCTTATCTTCAGGGCAGATGTTTTTATTTTATTTGGCTTATAATTTCTTACTAAATGTAGTATTTCATCTCGATGTACTCCATCTTTGATATGATTTAAATCAAATTCCTCGTCTATATAATTCGCTTTCGATAGCAAAGAAAGTAAAGTAAACAAATAAATATTAAGCTTTTTTTTTTTTTTTGTAAATTTTGATAACCTTTGGATCATAATTGTTCTTTATTTCATAAATTACAGTTTCATATTTTTTATTTTATAATTTCTGCATGCCATCTTACCAGATTTAAACTGATGATCTATAGTCCGGAAAAATCGATAATCCAGAATCGCCGAAGTCCCGACGAGTCCGGATTAACGACTTGTGACTGTATCTTCCATTCTGCACAGGACATCTAAAATGAGGTTGATCTGTCTTTGGACTCGTGGCCATCAAGTTTCTGGGCCAAAGGCTTTGAAAAACTACTAAAACATTGACAGAAAATCATAGATTTGGGGGGTGATTACTACCCACACTAAAGATACTGCTTTCATGTTTATTTTTTTTCCTAACTTTATGGAGAACGTTTTTTTGTCAGAAAACATTTATTATAATCAGATAAAATTATTAGCTTTCTTAATTCATTTTTTGTTAGTGTTGGTAAAAGTGCTAAAAGATTTTAATTTGCACTGTTTCATGCGATGTGCTCATTATATGCATTAAGAATATTGAATGCCTGTATTTGTCATATAATTATTATCTTGATTAACTTTTCTTATGTTAGGTACTTTTCATATAAGTATTATAAGTATGAATTAGAAAATATTCTATTAATTAATTAAGGCTGTGTAATTTTAGAGCCAATGCCATCTTGACTGATTTGCCTGAACTGCTACCTTTGTTGGAAAAAAATATTGCAATTAATGAAGCAGTACTTAAAGGTTCAGCATCTGCAGCTGTGTTAGTTTGGGGAGAAAATGAACGTAAATTTCCCACTCCTGATATCATCCTAGTATCGGACTGTATTTATTACGATATGGTAAGGATTACTGAATTATAGATTTCTTTGTGTAATCATTACTTTTTTAATTTATATTTTTAAGTGGATGATTGTTAATGCATATTTCAGTATTTTAATGAGTGCTTAAGTTGTGCTGGACCTCCGATATTTTTCAGTTTTTTAGATAAATCTTAAATTTTTCAGTAGTGCACCACAAGTAAGAGGGCTTTTTAATGTCGCTAAACCAGAATTCCAGTAGAAAATTTTTTTCGATCTTGAAATTTTGTTTTAATAATAAGGAAGACTTAAAAATCGATTCTAATTTGAGTGCATGCTTGTCTTTCCTTCATATGCAAAAAATGAATGGAGGTTCAGACTTTTAAGGAAAGAAAAGATCCCTCCTACATGTCAAAGGTTTTTTTCTGCATAAAAAGCAAGAATTTATGAGAGGGGTTAGATTTTTGGTTTTTTGAAATGACTAGAAATGATCACCCTACTCGTAAACACATCCAAGGCTAGTGATTTCTCACACACACAAAAAGATTTTTTTAAAAATAATATAAACAAATACAGGGATCAAAATCGTCATTTGTGCAAAAGCTTATGTTTGTTCTCACCTAACCCACCAGATTTGGTTAAAAATTTTTGCTCTGTCACATTTTGCTTGGTAGCTATTATATTAGCAAATTGTTGGGCTCTTCCTCCAGTAAAATTTTTTCCATATTCTGTTACTGTTTGTAACATTCTGTCTCTATTCTCATTAGTGATTCTTTAATTGTTTTAACTTTTTCCACTGGTGTGTTGGAAAAAGAATAGTCTTCATTTCTGTCATCCTTGAAATACTACATTACATTTTCAGAGTTTAAATTCAGCCGGGTCATAGCTCCACTATTTCTTGGTTTGGATAGTTGTTGTTTGATTTATCCCCAAGTTGTTGTTTCATTTATGGTAACCTGAGTAGTTTAATGCTATGAAAACCCTATTATGGCGTAATTGGTTGCGTGATTGCAGTGAATTTGAATGATGGGATGGATTTTGGATAAGAAGTATGTTGTTATTTTGTGGTTTGCACGGTAAAATGGCTGACTGTTGTAAGATTAATTTGAAGTTTTTGTACGATTTTGAACGAAAGGGAAAAAGCATTAATTGACTGGTGTGTAAATTAAGGTTTTCGTAGTTGCCATTGTAAGTGTCCTGTTTGTAGGAAGGAAATGCGTATGGTCGAATGTCGGACGATACTTTCACTACGAAGCATATTTGTTACTCTTATTTTTGTGAATTTATGAGGCGTTGCCAGTAGACAGATTCTAGTTCAAATAATTTTAGAAAGTTTTTGGATGCGGTTAAAGAATTTTGTTTGACTGAAGACAGGGAGATTTACAAATAAGGTAAGTGGATATTTCCTTTCATCTAAGTGCTAAGATGAATTTCTCTTTGTATGTTATTTCATTGTTTGATTTAAAATGTAGTTTATTGAGATTATATATTTTTTGTTGGCTGCTCCTTTGACCTTTTAGTGAATATAGATCAATGTGTACATGGACAAAGTCAAGGGAGTGTGCAGTGCCTAGTTTATGCAGTTCTCTGATGTTTTTTTAAGTGGCAATAGGTTGATGTGTACATGGATACCATGTTTGTGCAATTCTTTGACTTGCTATTTTGGATTTGCATATGCAAAAATCGCCGCTGCACAAAGCCAAAATAGCAAGTCAAAGAATTGCACAAACTCAGTGTTGATGTACCGGCAATCATCACCAAGGGTCAATATATTTTTAGCCTTGGTATTCCAGCTGGGGCCCAAAATAAAATGAGTTCCGATATTTTATTTTATTAAAAAATGTTTATCATTAATTTAATAGTTTATTAAATCTTTATTTATTCAGTACTTGACAAAACAGTAATCTTTTTTCAGCTTCAGCAGCAGAATTCTTTTGTCTTCTAAAGGAAAGAGACCTGTGTTTGATTGCTGTTGAAATCAGTGGTTATGTTTTAAAATCTTTAACAAAATAAGTTAGCTGTTTTGCCTAATTTTAAGTTTCATACTACTGTGTTTCTCTTCCAGTTTTTATTTATCTCTTTATGTCTTATTTAATTTTAATTATTTATTTTAATTTTATTATCTCTTTATGTTCTATTTAATTATAATTATTTTTATTTATTATCTTTTTCAAAATTTTGTTTCTTTCCTTCCTGATGCCCTTCCATAGAACTGTGGCTTTTGTAATTTTAGAAATCAAACCTTGATTTTAATGAATGAAAACAAAAGGTTTGTTCAAGTGAAATATAGTTTGTTGTATTGATTTTTGTTGTATGAAACACTTAGCAAGAGAAACTCATGTATGCTAGATTTCTTGCTATAGTTGAACAATTGTACCACTGTTATTAAGATGGCAATCCCAAAATTGACAAGTACCTTCTGCCAAGTTGGTAGTTCTTCTAATGCAGTATTAGTTCACTAGAACAAAAGTGTTATTCCTTTTTAACTAGTCAAAATGAGAGAGAACCATACTGTGTGGAAAATAGGCTTTTGATGGTTTGCAGTTTTACATGTCACTTATTGTGCCCTTTTTCTTTAGCAGTGGAGATCTTTTCCCTTGAAAGAAGCCAGTCTGAATAAATTGCCATATACTGCTGAGAAGCATGTTTTAAGCTATTGAGATGAGGACAGACAGTGCTTTTCCACTTACTGGGTCAAGATGGCATCACCAGTTTATCATACACCATGTTTCAGACAAGCATCCTAGTTCCTGTTTGTCAGAAGAATTAGACATTGCAGAGAGTAGGCTTTAACATGTTTGTTGCTATGAACAAATTTTTTTTCGCTTCATTATCACTCAAATAAAAATCTGTTTGCTATCCAAAGTGTCAACTTATTTAATACCATTTGAACCTTTCATTGCATTAAGCATTAGCCTTTATGTGCTCCCTGGAAGGTATAATGGTTAGTGGAGACTGTGACAGTGAAACCTTTTCTAAATGAAATTGATCAAAAGTGAAGTCTTGCTTTACATGGATGTGCCCTGATGAGAACAGTACATGGTAGTGCAGTTTCTGATTGTGGAAGATGAGTATAACGTGGACATCTATCTGCGAATTGTGACAGTCTATGGTGAGCCCTATTTAGGTTGAATGTTTGTGAACAGTTTGTGTAAAAGTTTATGTGAAGGGTGGCAAATGATATTGGATCTGCCAAAACCAGGCCAACCAAACATCCTGATAACAAATGATTCCATTGCTACCATTGATGAAATGATTAGAGCTAATTGAAGAGTTTGGACACGTGACATCAGCGATGAATTCATCCTGAGTAGCGGATGAGTTCACCATCCATTACTCAAGATTAACACCATCATCCATCAACATCTGCATTACAGTATGTGTGGAATGAGTACCAAAACACAAAACCCTTGATCATGCAAAACAACAAATGGGCCTCAGTCTCCAGCACATGATCCGTTATGAGGAGGATCCTGCATTTCTTGAATGCATGAGTCTGGTGTCACCACTATACATCCAAGAAGACACACACCATCTCCTCCACCAAAGGAAATCCAAAGCAATGAAGACTGCACAGAAAATGATGCTTTCATTTTTCTTCGATTACGGTAGACAACTCTTGATTGATTTCCTGCCCCAAGGGAGTACTAACAATTCAACACAGTACTGCAGTACAATGAAAAACTACAGTAAGCAATCAAAAGCAAATGGCCAGGCCTTCTCACATAACAAGGAATCCTTCTTCATGAGAATGGTGACCCACATGTCTCCCGTGAATGCCAGACAACCTTAAACAAATTCCATTGGGAAGTGTTGGAACACCCGTTGTACAGTCTGCATTTGTCACTCTGTGACTTCTACATCTTTGGCCCACTTTAAGAGAGCATTACAGGGGAAATGGTACCTTTCAGATAATGGAGTGAAGGAACATTTGCAGGACTCCTCAATATCAACCATGATTATTCTACAGCAGAGGCTTAGACTTGCTGCCAAAACAATGGGACCTTTGCTCCAACGCCTGTGGCAATTTCTTTTGATTTCCAGTAAAGGTATTCTTTTTATTCAACTTGTCCACTTTTCATTTGGGCAACTCACATATTAAAATAATACTGAGAACAATACAGGTCTACATACTACAGTACAATGTCCGTAATCCGGACATCCATTATCCGGAATGATCTATAATCCAGACCTCAAAGCCACAAACTTATGCATGCGCGTAATGCATTTACTCATGCACGTAAAGCATTTACGCATGCGCGTTTAATGCACTCGTCCGCTGCACATGTACATAGAACCAGTAAAGCGTTTACACATGTGCGCTTCCATGATTATCACATTATCTGCTCAGCTGTGACAAGAATCACTAGGTAAAGTATTATCGCTGAATTAGATGAGCCACAATTTTATGAAAATATATTATATCTGGCAACCCATTAATGCACATGGTGTGGTTTCTGCTTGTGAATAGTGTGTGATCTCTCTCTTTTTTTTTAATTGTATTTTCTTACTAATGAAAAAGGAAATGTTGCTTTTTTTTTTTTCAAGAATATAGTATTTTACCTTCTACTAATGTGTAGAAATGCACATCCCATGAAGTATTACAAAATTTTACAAACGAATGGAATTTTACAAACAGCTGAATTGTTCAAGTTCTTTTAGGGATTTCATTTTGAGAAAATATCTACAAGGAAAGTGAGAAGGCTGTTTAAAGCAGATAAATTTAAAGATTTAAAATATTCTAAAGCAGATAGCTGAACAATATCCATTGGCTGTAAAAATGTAAGTATTGTCCAGATTAATTCTCATTATTATTATGAAAGTAATAAAATGCATATAAAATGATGCATTGGCTACCTTTTACTTATCTCTGATGCTACATTATTATAGAAATTTTGCAACCTCGAAAGTGGTTTATAAACTGTTCTTAGGTGATGTGATAATAGTTTTCTCCGAATAAGTGCAATTCTCTGAAGTTAAATCAGGTTGATGTGTACATGGAGGGCAGTGCCAGTTTGCTCTGTAATGCCAAGAATTCTTCAATTCTGTGACTTTTTTTAAAGTTAAAACAGATTGCTATGCACATGGGCAGAAGTTAAGTATTTTATTATGGGTGTTTGTTGTGTTTTTAATTTAGTTAATTTGCTACTATTTTATGAAATTTTGAGTGTTTCATTATGAATGTTTGCTTTATGTAATTTTTACTCTTTCATTATGTATGTTTATTGCATTTTTGATTTTATTAATTCATTCCTGTTTTGTGTAATTTTCCACATGCCGCCATTTTTTAATCTGGCTAATTATTTTCATGTGTTATGCCAATGATTGACAACTTTGCAGAATGGTTGGGTATATAATAGTAGTACCAAAATAATTTTATAGTTTAAAATTATAACTCTTCTGATGAGCAATAACTAATAATCAATAATTTACATATTTACCATATCCAATTTATTACTCTTGAAACATAGCAGGTGTTAAAAATTCTATATTTATTTGTGAATTCCTTTTCTGTTGTAGATGTGCAAGATACTAGTATGTTTAAAATAAATAATTTTAATACTGTGAATTTTCTAAGTGTTATGTATTGGTAGTTAAAGGGTATTTGTTTCTTGTGCAGTCAGTGGAAAAACTTGTGCCAACTTTAGTTGAATTATCCGGACCTGATACAGAGATATTTATTTCTTATGAAGACAGAATAATAGGAAACAAACAAGAACTCTTGAAATTTTTTTTACGTGTATGTATGATTCATTTTTATCTAGGATTATGTATTTTGATTCATCATTATAACATGATGCTTTCTGAGTGTATTTCTATCATTCTAGAATTTTATTTTTATGAATTATGTAATTTTAATTTGAGAATTGCAGGCTTTCAATCAATTTAATGTTGTTCAAAATCATTTCTGACCGTAGAAATTTCAGAGAATTATTCCCTCTCAATTCATTTTTGGTGCTGCTAAATTATTTTATCAAAAATAATACAAATAATGTACCCAAATATGGGGGTTATATCATTGGCACTCTGTGTATATGGCAGAATCTCTTTTTTTTAAAGTTAAACTTTCTATGAAAAAAATGGATCAGGTATAATTCAGATTAAGAAAGTACATATAAATTATACAAACCTAAATATTATTGTAATTAAAAGGGGACATGAAACAAATGTTAATTTGAAGTATTTCTGTTATTACTAATAAGTAGGTACATGATATAACCATTTCTTTAAATATCTGGTGAATTTTGCATAGGATGCAACTCATTAAACGTTTTGTGGTAAAGAGTGCAAAGTATTTCAATGCCTCCTCTTCATTTGGATCAATCTCCATTACAAAATCAGAGAGTTCCTATGTTAATCCTGTTTCAAGATTTGTTTAATTTATTGTACATTAAAAGCTCTTTATCTTCTTCTCTATAATCTGCACTTCTTATCAATGTATGGATCTTCTATAGATCATCCAATTCTTCATTTGTCATTTCACGATCATTATTCTTTACTAATTCCTTGATTTCTCCTCCTTCTACAGAGGCTGTTCACACATTTTTTTAGACGATGTATATTGTATTCACAAAACTAAATTACATAAAATTCTTGTGTTTTAAATGTTCTATTTGACATCCCTTATTCTGAACTATCTTTCGACACCACAATTTCCAGGATAGTAATGCCTTTTGAAGTGGCAGAAGAGGTATTCTATCCCATTCCTCCCGAACAGCTTTCCAGAGTCCTGTTAGGGTTTGGGGACAACATTTGGATAATGCAGTTTTTAAAAATCCGAAAGCACAAAAATCCATAGGTGACACATCGGGAGATTTAGTAGGGATATCAGTGAAGGGTATGACCTTGATACCGGTTTTTTGTTCCATTTCTTTTAAGAAATTTACAGTGAATTTCGATGTGTGACTGCTAGCTTTGTCCTGATGGAGTCTCACAGATTGATGGCACTGTGGGTAAAGCGATGGTATTTCATTCAGAAAAATTGGTGATAAAATATGTTCCTGATAGTATTTGGAGTTAATCTTGACATTTTTTTGCACTCTCTTTATTTTTAACTTCCCATTATAAGAAAAACCAGCAACAATCATGAATCCCGTAGAAAAACTTTCTTTCGATTCTTTGAACCATGTACTTAAATTTTTTTCTCCCTTTTATGATAATAAATGGCTCTTTTTTGTTACAATCATTTAAATATGCCCATGCTTCATCTATTGTGACAATTGCTTTCCATTTTTCTTTGGATAAGTGTTTCTCATATAGAATTCTGCAGCGTGTCCTGCGTTGAGCGATATGTTTTGGAAGAAGACGATGCACATTGCGTTTTTTCGCTTTCTTAAGATTTAAATCAATGTTTATCATTTTGTTTACAGTGGACACCGAGCATTTAAATGATTTTGCAACTGGCCTTTGACTAGGGGGATTTTCTTTTAACATTAAACAACGTACCTATGCAATAGTCGAAAATGTCTGTTTTTTCCTTGGATACTTGTTTGGAATTTTTATCCTACTTGAGGCTCCAATTTGACCTTTTTTTTCCTTTCTTGTTGATGATATTACCTATCAATGCTTTAGATATCACAAAATGACTCTCACATAATTTTTGGATAACGGAGTATGCATATTTTTCTTCAGAAAGAGCGTAAATGTAGCCTTCGAACCACTGCTTTGTAAAATTCGCCATTTTGAATAAAAACAAAACTTTCAAGGCACAGACGATAATTTTGATTTTTAAAAATGTAGTACAATTGCAATTACTTCTTTTGCAGCAAACGATTTTTTATTACTGCTTACCAAAATCGTCTAAAAAATGTGCGAACAGCCTCTGTATATCTGGAAATTCTTCTCCATGTATTGCTTTTGCAATTTGTAGGATTTCCACATTTTATTTTGTTTCGATAGAAATCCTTTAACATTGTCGACAGCTTCTGACCAGAGCTGATGCTAGCAAGTACTCATTGTTAATGAATTCATTTGTTACCATGCAAGTTTAATCATTTATATCAGTGTCTTATGTTGAATTGCTTTCTTATCTTAGTGTCTTATGTTGAATGTCATTAGTATGTTGTTTTTTCTTTCATGTATTTCTTTATTTGCAGAGATATAAACACGCCTGATATTATAGGTTGTGAATAGTTTTATGATATTTTGATCCATTGGTTGGATTAAGGATGTGGTATTCAGTAGAAGGAATAAAACCTCTGCATTTGGATGCAATATTGTGAGGGCTTCAGCATCGTGTCCTGGAGCATTATTGAAAATAATTCAATAAATTATTTAAACATTTTAAAAATTGTGGTTTTGCTGTTCTAAGCAATGTTTGACTTCTTCAATGAATGAATTTTCAAACCAGTCATTAAAGAGGACTATAGTAATACATCAGACACTCTACATTGTACCACATATAATTGGAATTTTTATGTTGGACTGTTGAAATTGGAGACAATAAAGATAATGTGTATAACCTAAAATCGTGCTCCTCCAGTCCATGTTCAGCAAGAGTTTAATGTACTTCAGGTTATGATATGAGGTGACAGATACATGCCTTTATCATAGAATCGATCAGCTGGTCTTGTGTAAAAAATGTTTATTAATATCTTGCCTCAGATTCTATAATATCAGACAAAAATGTGAGAGAGACTTATATGTTACACTTTTTTTTACTGCTATTTGCTGGTAGTTAAAGGAGTAATCTTAATCTGAAATTATGAAAAAATGTTTCAAGCTGAATTTTCTTCATAAAAAAGTTATAATTAAACTATATGCAGGTATTTAGGCTTATTAAGAAAAAGTTGGATATAATTGCAGAGAATTGACTCTCAAATCAAAATATACATTGACCAGCCAAAACATTATGACCATCCCTACATTTTTCAATGAACTTGTGTGCATGACATGGAGGGCACTCAATTAAGTGGAAATGATATTCAACTGCTGCTGCAAAAGGTAATGAATTATTCTTGCACTTACTTTTGCAAGTGATGGGAAAGACTGCTGATCTAAGGGTATTTGTTAGAGGGCAGATTGTAATGCCCCGAAGACGTGGAACAAGCATCTTAGAAACAGCATGACTGGTAGGTTGTTCATGATCTGCTGTTGTTAGTATTATGCAAAGTGGATAAACGATGGTGAAGCCAGCAATACACGCCAAGGTGTTGGATGTCTACGCGTCATCACAGAAAAAGGACATCGGAGACTGTCTCACTTGGTACAACAAAATCAGCATCAGATAATGTCTCAGCTGACAACCCAATACAATGCAAGTCCAAGTGATAGTATTTCTGAACACACAGTTCAGCGGACACTGTAGGATATGGGACTGCGTAGCAGATGTCCTACTCATGTGTCCATGTTGACTAAGCATCATTGTCAACTATGCCTACAGTGGGCCTGGGAACATCAAGACTGGACCATGGATAAGTAAGACAGCTACCTGGTCTGATGAATCATGATTTCTTATTATTTACGTTGATGGTCGTGTCATAGTACATCATCTTCCAGGTGAACAGTTGCTGCCTTATGTACAGTAGTCATGAACAGGCAGGTGGAGCAGTATTATGCTTTGGGGGGGATATTCTCGTGGTGGCTGTTGGACCCTTAGTTGTGGTAGACCAGACTATGGAAGCTGTGGACTATCTGAACATAATTGCAGATCATTTGAACTTTTACATGGTGTCTATCTTCCAAAGTGGAAATGGAATCTTCCAGCAGGACTACACACCATGTCACTAGGCCCAAAGTGTGTTGAAGTGATTCGAGGAGCACAAGGATGAATTCCAATTAGTGTCCTGGCCACCTAACTCACCAGATCTTAACCCAATATACCACATTTGAGGTATCATGTAGTGGCAGTTTAGAGTTCAAACATCACCATGTCGGAGTATCTCGACTTTGCAAATGACTACTGCTTGGACATCTGGTAAAACATGCCTCCAGTCATCAACCAAAAACTTGTGGCATCCATTCCAAGGTGAGTTGTAGCTGTTTTGCACGACATGTTATTGAGTAGGTGGTCGTCATATTTTGGCTCTTCAGTGTATATTGAATGTGAATACAGCAATATTGGAATCTGAATTGGAACTTGTTCCAAATTTGGAAAAAGGGACTTTGGGGGCAGACTTTGTGGATATTTTTCATGCAGATTAAGAAAATGAATGTACATTCAACAATCTGAAATTAATTTATTTATTAATGGGTGGAATTATTTCTATGACTTCTTCCATTGAACTTACTTGCTTATTTAAAATTGTAACTTTCATTTTCCCCATTTTCTAAAGGTGCATGTTTTAAAAATGTTTTTGCCATCTTTCTCCCATTTTCAACTTTGTGAATACATATCATCAGTGAGTTTTCTTAAGATGGTGGAATTTCTGTATTTATATAATATGCTTCGTAACTAATCTGGTAAAGTAATGTATGTAAATGCATTTATAACCATGTTAAATAACCAGTTAAATAAATCAGCCTATTAAATTTTGCCCATGTTTCATTTTTAGACTAAATTTAATGTAATAATTAAACATATAACGTAATAAGAAGCAAATCAGTTTTCTTTTTAAAATTATTTTAGGCACTACAAGAATCATTTGAAATTGTTATAATACCTTCTGCTAATCATCATCCAGAATTTCAAAGTTCTGATATTCATCTGCTGAAATGCAAGAAAAAGAATATGGATCCAAGCTGAAATATCTCTGAAGCCTAATCAATATTCTGTGTATAAGCATAATTAGATAACATATCTGTATCATTGTATTTTTATACAAGTTGATTTTATGCCTAATCCAAAATTTTTTATATATCAGCAATAAAAGTTATTTTGTGTCTATTTATTATTTATGAGACATAATTAACTAGCAGACCTGATGAAAACTATTGATAACAAAAATTATTATATAAGAAAAGTAAAAATTTTAGCATATTTAAAGTCAGAATTTTATTTAGTGATCTCTAAGAAAAAGATCTTTCGAGAACATGAAAAATTATGATATTTTAAATGCATGTACATGTATCATTTTAAACACATATGCATGTATATATTCTAGTTTTTGCATATAATTTTAAAAATCTCCTTCCTGGAGATTCCTAGAAAATTTCAGCATCGATAAAACACCTTAATTTCTCTAAATAAAGACCATATAGGGCAACCAAAACATCAAAAATCAATTTTAACATCCACAGATATATTAATTTAATAATTATTAAACTATTGAGTTTAACATGGTTAAAGGAATTGAAAAAAACGTCTTTGTCCCCAAAAACAAATAAATGAAAAGATTTGATTATTTAAATATGGCAAAACACACAAGGATTATATGCCCAAGAGGAGGTGATGCCTCTTCAGTTAGGATTTTCTAAGGGAAACTAGCTAAATTTGGTGATATTGAGATACTTTTTTCAGTTGATGCATTTCTAAAAATCTTCCTAAACTTCTCTAGCTTATAAAATTGATAATTTTTTATAAATATAATTTCGTTTTCTAATGCCTTTTGTTCCCATTCTGTTTTAAATATAAAATACATCAGAAAATTTTACAGTATGTTTTGCGTATTTTAAAGGACTCGAAAATAACTATGGATTTAAGATGAAAAAGCACTTTAATCACAGATATTTACAAAGCAGTTATTCTTACAGAAACGATAGAGCTTATTTTTAAAACGTAAAACTTAAACAGAGTTGAGTTGTAGCTAGTATTACTCGAACAACCTCCCACCTTGCAATTTGTAGGATACCTATAAATTGTTATAAATCATTGCAACAAAAGTTATAAATCAAGTCTATTGAGAATTTTAACACGTCGACCAGCTCTAGTAACAAAATCTGGAACTTTGGGTGATGAATCATCATCTCCGCTGGAATCTGAAACATTAGCTGCAGGGCGTAGAGGCACTTTCATCCCTTCGAGCATCTTAAGCAATGAATGGTAACTTTTCCGAACTGTTGATTTCTAACAGATAAAGTCTTTGGAATGGTCTTAACTTCTCTCCATCAGCTGTTCTCACTCTGGCAACTCTTGAGTGCCCATCTGCTCCAGAAAAGACTTCGATGACGATTCCTAAAGGCCAGTTGGTACGCTTGCCATCAGTTTCTAAAAGAACGACCTCTCCAACTCTTAAAGATTCTTCCCGCCTCTTACTTTTATGAATCAACATTGCTAAATACTCATTCTGAAATCTCATTCTTAAATTCTGCCTTAATTTTTGTAGAGAATGTAATCTTATATTTAGGCTTTTACTGTTGATTTCGTCTAAATCGGTTGTTTCACTGCTAGGAATATTTTGCAAGAAACAAGCGGGAGTTAATGGCTTCAGACCTTCAGAATTGTCTTCACATATATGTGAGGGGGTCTAGAGTTTATTGTAGCTTCGCAATCACATAGAATATTTTCAACTGTTCATAGTCAAGACTTTTCCTGCCCAAAATTCTTCTTAGCATCTCTTTCAACATTCTAACCATGCGCTCCGACCAGGCGGCTGTTGGAGGGTTAAAATTCCATTTGGTTTTCTTGATAGTGGAAAACGACATGATCTTCTCCCAATCTAAATTTCTTAGAGCATTGCTTGAACCAATGAGTTTGTACCGTTGTCAGTTGAATACATTTACTCTACCACTTCGAGCAAAGAATCTTCTTAAAGCCATAATAAAACTTATATAACTAATCTGTAGACAGGGAATTGACTAATTCAAGATAGACAGCCCTATAAATGGTGCACGGTAAAAAAGTAAAAAGTGCAACCCAAGTCTTTTCGCCAGAACGCAAATACAAAGGGCCTGCGAGATCAATCCCTGAAACTTCACAAAACTGCGGCACCCTTTATTCTGTTCTTAGGAAGAGGTGCAAAAGGTGGTTCTGTAGGTTTGGCCTTTGAATCTTTTATATGAAATACAAACTAAGAGCTAACTTTTTTGGTTAATCTATTTGTTTCTATTGAATCGAAATAATCCAGTAATCTTCTCTTAAATTGGCAATCAGAGTTTGAAGTCCTGCATGTTGTAGTTCACAATGCTTTTGCCTTACCAGTCGATGAATAATCTCATGGCTTCCGGGCAACAATATGGGGTACTTGAAATTTTCTTCTTCATCTCCCAAGAGAAGCTTTGTTCTGAGTCGAACAATATTATTTTCGTCTCTGAATGTTTGCATGTTCTTCAAGATTTTCATTTTTCTTCCGGCAAAACTTTCCTGCTGAATTAATTTTAGCAAGCAGTGTTCCGCTGATTGAACTTCTTCATAAGTCAACTTAGTTTTCTTAAGTTTTTCTTTTAGTTGTCAGTTTTTAATGAAGCGAAGCATCCAGGCAAGCATTCTAAGAATTTTCGTATATTTCGAGGAATAAAGTAAATTGTCAGTGAAGTTAACTGATCCATACTCCACTTTACTGATTATCATTTTTCTCTCTTCCGATCTAACCAAATTTTCATCAATGACTTGTTTTTCACTTAATGGCCAAAATTCTTGCGACTTCCATAACCATTCTGGACCTTCCCACCATTTGCTTTTCAATAAATTCTTAGCATCATAACCTCTTGATGGCAAATCTGCTCGGTTCATATGCCCTGGCACAAAATGGCAGTCATTCGGGTTTGTATTCTTTCTTATTTCTGTGACTCTGTTTCCTACAAACGTATTCCAAGAACTCTCTCTTTTGATCCAAGTTAAAGCAACAGTTGAATCAGTCCAAAAATACACTGTATTGTTTTTCAATTCCAGTCTACGACTTGACCATATAATCTTGATAAGATCAAAGCTCCCAAGAGTTCTAATCTAGGAATTGTAATCTCTTTGCTAGGTGCTACTCTTGACTTACTCGTTACTAACTTGACTGAAATCTCATTAAATTCAGAACGTAAGAAAATACAAGCAGCATAGGAAACTTCACTGGCATCACAGAAACAATGTAGACTTATTCGGCAGTCTTCAAATGGACCTGAGACGAGTCTTCGTGGAATCTTACATTCTTTCAGTAAAGATAGTTCCTTGACCCAGGCTAAAAGTCTATTTGATATATCTATTGGAAGTACATCATCCCAATTAATTTTCCTCTTCCAAATGTTTTGAAGCAATACTTTTGGTATCAATGAAACAGGACATGTTATCCCCAATAGGGTCAAATAATCTTTCGGCAGCCGATAACACAACTCTTTTAGTAAACCCCTCTTCTGGAATTTCAACCATACTGCCGCAAAAAAGTTCATCGGTTTCAGTGTCCCAAAAGAGACCTAGAATTGAAATGAATTTCACATGTGTCTCTTCTACAATTTTTTCAGAAGTAACCCAGCCTCGTAGTTCGAATTGTGCTGAAGACATCAGCTCCTTAGCTTCAGAAATAAATTTTTCTGCTCTTCTTTAGTTTCTAAACTCGTAATACAGTTGTCCACATAAAAAGATTCTTTGAGTTGACAAGCTGTGTGCTTCCTTTCATCCGGAACGTTCTCTAGATGGTAAGCTATAGTTGCTTCTAGTAAAAATGGACTAGGAGAAGCACCAAATACCACTCTACAATGTAGGAGAGTGATTATTTCTTCTCGTCTTGATAAATCCTTCCACCACAGAAATTTAAAATACTCCCTATCCTCTGGATTCAAACTGATTTGTAAAAATGCTTTTTTGATGTATGATTTTACGCCAATTGCGTTTTCCCGAAACTGCATTATCAATTTGGGTACCAATTCTAATAAATTTGGCCCCTTTTCTAAACAATTATTCAAGGAATTTCCTTTGGAATCTTTTGTCGACGCATCAAAAACCGGACGAATTTTTGTTGTTGTTACACCAATTTTTATAAGAGGATGATGTGGTAAATAGTGTCTCTTTTTCTCGTCTTTATCTACAATTTCAATAATTCCATCCCGAACCCACTCATTAAACACATCATCATATTCTCTTAAATACCCAGATCATATGAGATTTTTGGTAGTTGACATTAACCGTATAGTGGCTAAGTCTTTATTCGTTTCTAATTCTGGACGTCCACTTTTCCATGGCAAACATACTTCATATCTTTTGTCTTCGTTTCTTTTAATAGTTTTACGGAAAAAAATCTACGTTTCTTCATCGGTTATCTGCCTTGACTTTACTTCTGCAAGCCATCTTATACCGATGACATCTAGGCTCCATAATTCCGTCAAATCTAAATTATTAGCATATACAATACTCTCCAAGGATTTTGAGTAGTTTCTTTGTTTACCTTGAAACGTCCATCCAAGTTTTGTTTTAATAGCTACCAAATTATTATCAATGGGCTCAATTCTCCCAGTCAATAATGCGCCAAGATAATCTGCTCCTATTAATAAACCTATTTCAGGCACATATTCACCTGTATCACTTAAGCGTATATTTTTCTTTTCAAAATTGGATAAATATCAAGATCTACACGTGGAATTGCACCAGATATCTTCTTTTCGTCCAAAACTGAAATAGGCTTGGAATTTGAACACAAGCTTTGTAATGTAATATTGTAGACATTATGGGACTCTTGTTTAGTTTCACTGCCCCCAAAAAGTCCATGACTCATCATAATTATATTTTTTCTGCAATATCTTTTCGTATGAAAGATCTCTGAGCACCAGTATCAAATAATCCACAAACGATTCCGGACTTGTCACCATTGATGATTTTCACCAATATAGTTAACAATAACGTTGGAGAATTTTTTGGTGACAAAAGAACCTGTGCATCCGATTCAGATTGTTTGTCACGTTTTGATCGATTTATATTTGGACACATAATGCTATGGTGTTTTTTTTTCTTGCATATAAATACACTTTAAATAAGCTTTGCGGATCTTAGAATTGTGTCCTGGTTTCAAACAGACGAAACCAAACTCCCCTTTTCTTCAATGTTTCTCTTTTCGCCTCCAATGACATCTCGGCAGTCTTAAAACATTCTGAGGTATTATGAAACGACTTATTACAAAAATATACAATGTTTGCCATTTTTCTCAGCTCTTTACTTTTCATTAGATACAATACAAGCTGCAGTGGGAATGTTTTCTTTCGTTTTCAATTTTTCAAATTGATCATTCACAAACCCTAATCGAGCAAGTTGTAACCGCTCTTCACTTTTGACTTCCAAACGAAGAAATTCTAATAAATTTCCTAACATGTTCATCTTGTCTTTATTTTTTTACACGGTTATGTTTGCGTTCCCACTCCTTGATAAGAACTACTTCTGGCAGAGCTGATTCTACTAAAGGATATAACATTGCTTCATATTTTTCAGACGTTACCCCTAAAGTCTCTAATGCTCGCAGCTGAGTCTCCAATTTATCATAAAGAATCCACAAAGTAAAAATTTCGCCACTTATCGCTTGCGTTAACACTACATTTAAAAGTTTACGAACATAAATTTGAATTAATATTCATCTTTAGCAAAACAAGATTTCAGCTGTTCGATAGCATTATAATAGTTTTCGCCAAATGGTGGAAAACTTGCAACTAAATCGCTAGCCGATGAACCTTCTTCAGTTGCTTCTTCTTGCAATTTATCATCTGCATCAATGCTATCATCATCATGAATCTTTTTAAATTGTCCCCAGAATCCTTGCCAGTTTTTAATATTACCATCAAAACGTTTCAATTCTAACTTAGGAAGACGGAAATTTCGCTTGGTTTCATTTACTACATTGGAAATATCGCCCTTTCTTTCAGTGGTTGATAACATTAAATCAACTTTTGTTTTCATAGCAACCCACTGATTTCGATAGCTTTCCGTTAAATCCATATCATTAGAAAATTCATCTTCATTAAAATTGTCCATTTCAAGCCATTTTACTTTAACTTTTTCATCTAACTGAAATAATCTGTCAGCTTTATCATTAAATACAGATATCAAATCAATCTTACTTACTGCTTCATCTTTTAGAACAGTGTTCACTTCTTTCAAAGAAGTTGTGAAATACCGCCGTAATTGTGTTCTTTCCCGTTTTAAATTATCTATAGTCCTGCTGCACGGACGCCAGTATTTTAAAGGATTCGAAAATAATTATGGATTTAACATGAAAAAACACTTTAATTGCAGATATTTACAAAGCAGTTATTCTTACAGAAACGATAGAGCTTATTTTTAAACCATAAAACTTAAACAGAGTTGAGTTGTAGCTGGTATTACTCAAACAGGGGGGGGGGAGAGGGACAGAAACTGCAGAACAACTTTTAACTTTTCCCTAATCATGAAATCCTATCTCAAAGTCTTCAGCCACCTTTTGAATTTCGGCATCCTATTTTTCAATGTTATAATTACAATTCTAATGTTCGTATAGGTGTTTGGATGTGTCTAGAGAGTAATTAGAACTGTTTTGTTAAAGATTGTGTATTAGCACAGTAATTTTTTTTATGCATTAATGCGACTAATCATTTCAGTTATGTCTTGTTTTCTCCTTGCAATTCTAAAATGAAATCACTCAGTTGCAATGTAAAATCTGTAAGAAACAGTAAATCACTGAGCTAAGTTTCATTATTTAAAGTTGTACATTCTTAAACCTTCGAGAAAATTTTTCATTTAAATTAATAAATCACGAAATTCCAGAAATTTTCTTCTACTTAGCCGTCTTTCATCCATATGTAATAATAATTCTGACTGTCCTTCATCAAGCTGCGACTGTAAGAGACACTGTTTGAAAGAATTTCCTCCAACAGAATTAATAGTTTTGTCCAAGCCATGTCTATTATTATTATTATTATTTTAATTAAATCTTTTACTGACTACAACTTGTTAATGAATTATGCATGCAGATAAAAAAATTTAGGAATTGGTCATCAGTTCGGCAAAGTAAAAAATAAGCAATATAAATCCATTTTTGCAACCTACTACTCTGGCTGTTAAAACTGAAACTAATTTAAGAATAGGTAGTTTTTGTGTAGTGAAGAAGTTTTTAAAAAAGTGACTATATTTGCTCATCTAGACCTTTCTGTCAAAGAAGTCATACCAGACAATTTATTTATTGTATAATTTTTAAAAACCATCGAATAAACTCAAGCAGTTGCGTTTTGTTACTTTATATCTGTCAGTTCATCCTATATTTTCACTCATTTTCTCAGACCGCCATTTCACATTATTTTGACATAACTAAAGATCTTTAATTGTAGAAGTAATTTCAATCTTGTGTTTAGAATCATTAAAAAGTTAACCTGACACTTCCAAGGAATTTTCCTTTTTAAATTTCTCATAAGAAAAAAGTTTACATTTTTCCCCTAAAATATAGCTTATCTTGAATGATGCAGTAGTCATTGCACATGATTTGTTTATGGGCTTTTTAAAATTACTTTGTCTAGCTCATCTTAAATGAGTCTTAAGATCTCTTATTTCATTTTTTCGCAAATCACTACATTTTGGATAATCTGTTTGGTATTTGTCATGTAATGATAAAAATGCCTCTCCAGATTATTCTTTTTAGTAACAGCTACAGGAGCATTGCATGTTAAGAACAGTATTTATTACTTATCATTGTAGAAAAGTAATCAAGTTCCCATTCTTCATGAAAATGCATTGCGTCTTCGCTGCACTGAAAATGCACTGAGTCTTCGAATTTTTTTGTTTACTAATTTTAATAGGTACTCAAATGCAAAAGAAGTGTGCAGTTAACAATTTAATTAAACGTACGAAAAGAAGGTACTTATATTTTTGCACAGTAGTAGAGTTAAGAAAAACTGGCACTTTCTCTAGAAATGCCAATAAACTGTTAATACTATGGTACTGAAGGAGCCACGCTCATTTTTTTCTGTGATTCATGACCAATTTGCATTTGCGTGTTACAATCATGTCCCATTGTCTGTGATTGACCAAAAATTGCTTAATGATCAACTGGATTTCTGTTTTGTTTCAATGTCATTCTCAAGACTTTGATGACCACATTGTCTTCCCAATAGGCTTCTTCACGGGTTGCTACGAAACCTAAAATACAAATATTAAATCTTATATTCATATTACTGTTGACAACTTATCATCTGTTGATGCAATTATAGAAGTCATTGTATCCGACATCCTGAATTTACTACTGGTAAACGTGGTGTTAAAGTAGTAAAAACAAATTATGTACAAAACTTTCTAATGAATTTAATAAATATTTAAATGAACATTTGTAATATGATGAATCTGATTCTCCTGATTTCATCCACACTAATAATCCAATCACTCACAAATCATAGAAACAGTTTCCCCTTAAAAACTTAATAACACCATAATGACTGATCTCAAAATGTCTTGACTTTTAACGGATGAAATCTCCATCAACCAACATTGTAGATGCTTATCTATATTTGAACAACAAATTGTAAAAACTTAAATTCAGGAATGGCTGTAAAAGATCTGATTAAGATATAAGATGGAATATTTAAACCTAAATGTTTTGATTTTGCTGCTCCTATTATCCTATACAAGAAGAGAATTGGCTCTTATCAGCTACGCATAGACTTCAGACATCTGAACAAGAAAATAATGAAAGATACATTTCTTTTACCACTAATAGAACAAATTTTTGAGCTGCAAGATCTTTAGATCTCTTGACCTGAAAAATGGATTTTTTTCATTTCCCATGGATTTCTAAAAACTCACAAAAATATGAATTTCTTAAAGTTCCCTCTGCAATTCTCCCAGAAATTTTCAAAGATTTAGTACAGTATTTAAACCTCTTATTAGTGATCAAACTGTTATAATTTATGTGGATGGTATAATCATTTCATTTAAAGACGAAGAGATGAAAGAGTTACAATTAGTTCTTCAGTTGCCTTAGACTATGGTCTAAAAATAAATTTTTAAAAATGCAACTTCCTAAACCAAAAAATCAGAATTCCTAGGATATGTTATAATAATAAGAAAAATATATTGACAAATTAAAAAAAAAAAGTAAGAATACAGTTTTTTAAACTATACCTATATTTATTAAAAAGATACAAATGAAGTGAAATTATCTTATTCAATGCACAACTTATTTAAATTCTTGAATACTTATAGATTGAATTTTAGCGTTGTTTGACAAACATGTTTGAGTAACAGTTCAAAATTCAACTTTTATGATTCAAATGACACATAGCTCTATAAAGAGTTTGTTCTCTTATATTTGTTCATCCCTCTTATACAGTCAAGTAAATCCCTCTTATAAAGTTACATCATTTATTCGCCGTGGCATGAATAGCTACACTTGCGTGCAAAATTAAGAGGATTTGGTAATTATGTCTATTTTTATGAAAAGTATTGAAGCAAATTATGGATTATGTTTAAGTTGAATTGTACAAATAAAGAGTGCAAGGAAGAATTGTGCAAATATTGAGTCGAATATGTAAGCGTATACATGCGTGTCCGCAGAGCTGTGATTGTGAAAGGAATATCAACGCACAAGGGATTTTCGGCGATTTGTGTGCTCGTACTCCTTTACGACATTCGCCGTGTTTCTCACAAGAGTTGTGTCAAGTTTATAAATTATCAGGTCAACTGAGTAGCCACGAACTTGCGGATGGAGAACATTCGTAAAGTGGAAGCAGACTAATCACACATGCAGGTGGCTACTGAGCCCATTGTCGTCTGCACCTCATGGAAACAGTTACAGGACACTGTATTCATATCGTGAATACCTGAACAAGGTCGACTAAGATCTACAGCGACTAATGACGATAGTTATTTGGCACTTCCGGCGTGGCGACATAGGGCTGCTGCAGATATTAATAGCTGTCGCGTGAGCCGTCACTGGAATCCGAGTTTCAATGTCTACAGTTGCCTAAAGTCTTCATGAGATAGAGCTGTATGCCAGAAGACCCGCTGTTTACGTCTTGCTCACTGCAACGCACAAGAAAGCGCGTTTAACATGGTGCAGATAACATGCGCCTTGGACCAGACTTGTGTGGAGCCTCGTGCTTTCTACAGATGAGTCGAGATTCAGCCTGGACACTGATTCTTGGTGTATCTGTATTCGGAGAGAGTCTGGAACAAAATAACATCCCTCCCTCACGAAGAAAAAAGATTATTACTGTAATGGAGATATAATGGTTTAGGCAGGCAACTATGTTGGACAGATACAGACTCTTGCATGTGTTTGACAAAGGCTCCCTGACTGCCATAAGGTACAGCGATTTCAGAGCCCTATCGAATTTTCAGACGCATTTGGTCCTAGA